GGCATGCTCGGCGTGTTGGCGCGGTTCGCGCCTTGGGGGATCGTCGCGATGATGTGGGAGTTGCTGCTGGAACGCGCGCAAGACTTCCTCTAGTCGCTGTTCGAGTCGTGTGACAACGGCGTTGGTGTTGTTTTGACTTTCGTCAAGCGATCCAAGCCTTCCTTCCATGACCTCACTCATACTTCGCATCTGGATGTCAAGATTGTCGATCTTATCCTTCATCTCTTTGTTGGCCATGGCTTTTCTTTCTTCTCTCCGCTCTTTGCTTTGTGGACTCGTGGTTGAAGATGATGGTGATGATGATGAACGAAAATATATTTTGTTTTGTTTTTTTTTGATAAGGGGGACGAAAAAAAACGAAAAGTAAAAGAAAGGGAATGGGGTAGAAGAAAAACACACGATCAACACCTCTCAATGAAAGCACCAATGATGAGAATCGTGTGTTTCGACTGCCAATAAGCCGCTAACCCACGCCTTGAATCGCCGATAGTGTTTCTCTAGCCACAACCGCGCCTATTGAAACGAATGAAATTGCAGTAGTATTTTGGTGAAAACACTAAAGCAAAGTTGGAAGAACAAAGTTCTGGATTTCTATTAATTCTTGAATGATTAAAAATAACATGGGGTAAGGGCCTTTATATAGGCACAAGATTTGTCTAAGTCTAATCTACTTAGGAAAATAATAGAGCAATAAAATATTAGGAATCCCAATAAGCTAGAAAATATAATGCTAGTTGGAAACTAAATATCTTGGTTTACACACCAAGTCTTCCAACCGCCTCAACCCTCCTTCTCTCGTGCACGCTGCCTCGTCCAACCGCCTCGCACGCCCTAGCCTTGAGGACTAGGGCACCGCCTTCCACGCATGCCTCGTCACTCGGCGTGGCCAGCACGCCAGCGCCTTGCGCGCCTGCCCCATGCGCGTGACCTGCCGCCAGTCCGCATTTCTCAAGGAGTGGGGTTTCGCGCCCCGCGCGTACTCGTGCGTCGTCCGTGTTTCTCGCGTGCTGCTCTGCTGTGCTCGACATGTGCGCGTCTTCGCTAGTCGCCCGTGTTCCGCTCGCGCACGCCAACCGTGCATACCCGCTGGCCAGCCCCTGCTCGCCCATCACACATGCAATTTGTGCGCGTTCGTTCTCCCTCATTACCAGGCCATTTTCGCACCCCTCGCGCGCACTATGCTCAAGTGCGCGCATTTCTGCCGTCACTCGCGCTTGCCTTTTGCGCGCATGGTAGGCTCGACTAGCGGCGTTCTTGAG